ACTCTACTGATGGAGAGTGAGGGCAAGTACAGAAAAGAGACTGGACATTTATGGTTTGATTTCTTTGTATGTATGGATCACTTGGGTTGTTACCAACATCTGGTGAAAATTTCATGTCATTAGCACCTCTAGTAATATATTTACTGAGAAAAATGATGACATGTTCAATACTTATTTTACCCGGTGTATAGTGACTTTTTTCTGCTGTTAGTGAGACTTCCTGGAGAGAGGTGTTGTTGGAGACGCTATTCATGTGAACCACGAGTGGTGCGGTAGAAATAGGATCATGGACTCTTACTGTTCTCATGACTTAGATGTTCTGGCAGTCTCATGCAGACCTTTCTATCTCCCGAGGAAATTCACAGTAGTCATCATGTTCGCTGTTTACATCCCACCCGATGCCAACATTAGCACAGTTCTCAGAGTGCTGCACGCCTGTGTTGATAAACAGCTGCTGGCTCACCCAGACGGAGTCTGTATTGTTGCCAGTGCTCTTGAAGTTCGTCCAGTACGTGAAGTGTGCAACAACAGGCAAAAATACTTTGGACCATGTTTATTCAAACATAAAACATGCATACAGAGTTACCCACCTCCCCCACCTCGCTGGTTCTGACCACCTCTGTCCCTCACCCCTCTGCTGAGACAGACAAAGCCACACCAGAAAACCATTCAGACCTGGTCTGAGGAAGTCCTCACACAGTTACAGGACTGCTTCCTTCGCACTGAATGGGATCAATTCTCCAGCCATGACCTGCAAGAATACACGGACACTGTACTCTCCTACATCAAGAACTGCATTGACACCGTCTCCRTCTACAAAAAGGTCAGTATGTTTCCTAATCAGAAACCCTGGATGGCCAGCAAATTCCWGTCACTATTAAAACGCCATAACACTGCCTTTAAATTGGGGGACAAGGCCCAGTAYAGCGCAGCCAGAGCTGACCWGAAAAGAGGCATCAGGGAGGCCAAGGTGGAGTATAAAATAAAGATAGAGGACCACTTTGGTACGAACGACCCTAGAATGATGTGGCAGGGTATAAACCACATCRCCAACTATGGATGCAGAAACCAGGACAATGCAAATACTGACGCCTCACTRGCAGAGAAGCTGAACTGMTTCTTTGCCTGCTTYGAAGCAGACAGACTAGCAACAATTCCACATCCACCACCTTCTAACACTAGCAYGCTAACACTCCAGGAACATGAAGTGAGACGTGTGTTGAAGGCRGTGAWCCCCARGAAGGCGGCCGGCCCTGAGGGTGTACCTGGAAAGGTGCTAAAAGCGTGTGCCGACCAACTAGCAGGTGTCTTCACCTGTATATTCAACCAGTCCGTTACTGGCCACTATTCCACCCTGCCTCAAATCCTCCACCWWTATCYCAAGTCCAAAAAAGTCCACAGTGGAGAGCATAAATGACTACAGGCCTGTTGCACTTACACCAGTGGTCATGAAGTGCTTCAAAAGRCTGATCTTTCAACACCTCAGAGCCTGTCTAYCTCCCACTCTGGACCCCCACCAGTTTGCCTACAGGGAAAATYGCTCCACGGAAGATGCCATCAACATCRCACTCCACACCGYGCTGAGTCACCTGSACCATAGGGAGAGCTATGTGAGGATGCTCTTCCTGGACTTCAGCTCAACCRCATCATCCCAGGGATACTGGTCGAGAACCWGGMGATTCTGGGCATCTCCACCCCCATCTGCCAGTGGATACAGAACKTCCACACAGAGCACCCACAGTCTGTGAAATTAGGCCRCCACCTCTCCTCCACTATCACTCAGCACTGGCTCCCATCAAGGCTGTGTACTGAGCCCTCTGCTTTTCACCTTTTACACCTATGACTGCTTTCCGATCCATCTCTCCAACAGTCATGACACAGATGACACAACTGTGTTTGGGCTCATCTCAGGGGGAGATRAGTCTGATTACAGAGACAAGGTAAACAGACTGACAGGATGGTGCTCTGCAAACAAACTGCCACTAAACACCACAAAAACAGAAATAATTCTGGACGTCAGGAAGAGCAGAGCTGAACCAGCACCACTTCACAAAAATGGAGTCAGTGTGGAAAGGGTCAGCTTCATCAAGTTCCTGGGTGTGCAGATCATGGACAGTCTATCCTGGTTTGCAAATACAACAGTGGTGGTGAAGAAAGCCCTGCGGCGTCTCCATTTCCTGAGAGTGCTCAAGAGAAACAAGCTGGAGGAGAMGATGCTAGTGCTGTTCTACAGAGCCAACATTAAGAGCATCCTTGCATACAGCATCACAGCAAKGTACGGGGGAYGCTCAGCAGCAGACAGAAAAGCACTGCAGAYGGTGATCAACACTGCCCAGCGGATCACTGATTGCTCTATGCCCAGTCTGGAGGACATTGCCACCTCTTGCTACCTAAGCAGAGCTACAAGTATCAAGGACCCATCCTACCCCAGCAACTGCCTGTTTAACCTGCTACCCTCGGGTTGAGGGTACGGGTCACACAAAACCAGGACAAATATGCTCAGAAACAGCTTCTTCCCAAGAGCCATCAGGGGACTGAACAATAAAAAAATAATGGCAACAAACATTCAATTTTTCAACCCATGTGCAATACAAAATGTGTGCAATATACAGTATCTCAAGTGAAATTTTAGGAACATCTCTAATGTGCAATATTACAAACAATGAAGAAGAATATACTGTAAAAATGGTCAAATTCTTCATTTCTATAAACAGAAACTCTTTGATTTATCTTTTTTTTGATAGTGGACATTTTTGTCTTTATTTGATTTTAACTTGTCTATTTTATTGTATTGTCTACTCCAGGGGTTCTTAACATTTTTGACCTCGGGGCCCAATTTGTTGAACATAAAGTGACACGAGGTCCAGTCAGACATTACCAATGTATGATCAAAATGATAACTATTCTGAATCTTGGTTCAATTTTTATTGTTTTTACATCATAACTAAACTATCATAACTAACATAACTAAATAAAATACACTTACATTTTAAAAGTAAAATTCCTGTCAAATAATCACAAGACATGATTATGACAAACATTTTATATTGTAACCTGCCCATAACAATTATTTGAACAAATACAACAGTTAGTAGACCACTCAGGCTTATCTGCACAAATATATGTATATATTAAACATAATAACAAAAGTAGAAAATTCAATAAATAAAACTGTGGGC